TGCATAAGGGGTAGAGCCACAATCAGGGAATATCAGCATTCCTGCAAATGAAAAGAAGTGCCTATCGGATCGGAATAGTCAGATCACTGGGTCAGGAGTGTATCTGGGAGGTGGCTAGCTTTCCTGCTGTCCTGGCAGGGGAGCTGAGGAGGCTCCCTCCCTTACCCTTGAAAAGACCTCAGTGTGTTAATCACTGAGCACTCCCTCAGTGGTCAAGTCTGAGACCTCTGCCCACCACTAGGAACTGCATCGACCAAACCGCTTTAACCACAGCTGGTTTTTATTCATGATACCTCCCTCGACTGGCCTAAAGCCTGAACTGTTCAACTGTAAACAAAACACTGGGGGATATAAATAAAGTGCATACTCCTGGGGGATGGGATAGATGTCAAGAGACCTCTGCCATTCCAACACCAACAGAGACAGTGAACCTGCACTCATGCTGAGCACATTGCTGCTACTATAACTAGCATCTGAGAAAGCCACCATACAAAGACTCCACATAACCAAGGAACTCATGCAGAGTCTGCACTCATGAAAACCCCCGGGTCATAGATTATAATAAACTATAAACATTAAAGTCACATCCTCAAAGGGAAGAAAGAACTAAGAAAAATCACAGTTGAATAAAAAATAAATTAAAAAATAATTAGAAGAATTAGTCTAACCAGATGAGAGGAAATCAGAAAAATAATTCTGGCAATAAAACAAAGCAGGGTTCTATAACACCGATTAGCTCTCCAGCAATAGATCCAAACCAAGATGAAATCTTCAAACTACCAGATAAATGCCATGGAACAGCTTTAAAAAATAAAATAACAGATAAAGAATTCAATAGGCTAATTATTAAGTTACTCAAGGAAATTAAAGAGAGTAGTAAAAACCAACATAAATTTAAAAGTTAATCCAGAATATACATTAAAATGTTCTAAAGAGATAGACATTTTAAAGAAAAATCAGAACTTCTAGAAATGAAAGACACATTTAGAGACTTACCAAATGCAGAGGAAAGCTTTGAAAGTAGGCTAGACCAAGTAGAAGAAAGAATTTCAGAGCTCAAAGACAAGGCTTTCGAGTTAACCCAATTGAACAAAAATAAAGAAAAAACTAAAAAACTAAAAAAAAAAAAAAAAAAAAATCATGGCCGGGTGTGGTGGCTCACGCCTGTAATCCAAGCACTTTGGAGCCCGAGGCAGGCGGATCACCTGAGGTCGCGAGTTCAAGACCAGCCTGACCAACATGGTGAAACCCCGTCTTAAAAAATCAAAAAAGAAAAGAAAAAACTAACCTTTTTCTTTCTTTCTTTCTCTTTCTTTCTTTCTTTAAAGATAGGAAATGGGAAGGGTACCCAAGAAATATAAGGTATGTATAATGTCCAAATATGAGAATCATTGACATTCTTGAGGGAGAAGAGAAAGCCAAAGCAGTCCTGAGCAAAAAGAACAAATCTGAAGGCACCACGTTACCTGACTTTATATTATATTACAAGGCGATAGTAACCAAAACAGCATAGTACCGTGATAAAGGCAGATACATAGACCAAGGGAACAAAGTAGAGACTCCAGAAATAAAGCCAAATACTTACAACCAACTGATCTTCGACGAAGCATACAAAAACATAAATTGGAGAAAGAATACCCTATTTAATAAATCATCGTGCTGGGAAAACTGGATAGCCACACAGAGAAGAATGAAACTAGTTATTAGTGTTTTCTGTGGCTGCACCCTGTGAGACTCAGTCTGATCCTGCACTGCACCTCCTGGAGCCACTGAACGTCTTGGCAATCTTAGGCACCAGAGAACGTCCCTTAAAGAAGACACAAAAGAATGTGGGTACCCAGAGACTCAGGGCCAAGGTAACTCCCAGGCCAGGCAGCATTCACCACAAGCTGAACAAGGAGCCACTGGACCTTAAGGGGCCATCAGCAGAAGCTTAGCAGTATTCTCCATAGGCCTGCGGTGAAGGCCATGGGGTGAGGCTCCTCTGCCTGTGTGAAGGGGAGGGATACTCCATTTTGCATGGTATGATTATTTTTTATTGCATTCCTGTATCCAGACATCTCAAGTGTCTCATAAATACACACACCTACTATACATACACACACAAAATACATTTTTTAAGTGGCAAAAGTTATGAATAGACATTACTCAGAAGAAGACATAGAAAAGGCAAAAAGGTATATTAAAAGATCCTGAAGGGCCAGGTGCAGTGGCTCACACCTGTAATCCCAGCATTTTGGGAGGCTGAAGGGGGTGGATCACCTGAGGTCAGGAGTTCAAGACCAGGCTGACCAACATAGAGAAACCCCGTCGCAAAAAAAAAAAAATTTTTTTTAAACCCTGAAGATAATTCATTTAGCAGAGAAATGGAAATCAAAACTATAGTAAGAAATTATCTCACCCCAGTAAAAATGGTCTCTATCCCAAAGATAGGAAATAACAAACACTGGTGAGGATGTGGAGAAAAAGGAAGCTTTGTATGCTGTTGGTGAGAATGTAAGTTAGGACCAACACTATGGAGAACTGTTTGGAGGTTCCTCAAAAAACTAAAAATACGGCCACCGTACCATCCAGTAATCCCACTGCTGGTGTATACCCCAAAGAAAGGAAATCAATATTCAAAGAGATACCTGCTGTTCTATGTTTATTCCAGCACTATTCAAAATAGCTAAGATTTGGAGGCAATCAGAGTGTCCATCAACAGTTGAATGGATAAAGAAAATGTGGTACATATACATGATGGAGTACTATTCAGTGATAAAAAGAATGAAGTTCTGTCATTTGTAACCACATGGATGGAACTTGAGGACAATATGTTATGTAAAATAAGCCAGACACAGCAAGACAAGCTTAGAGTGTTCTCACTTGTTTGTGGAAGCTAAAAAATAAAAAAATCGAACTTACAAGGATAGAAAGTAGAAGAATGGTTATCACAGGCTTTTAAGGGTAGTTGGTGCTTCCGGCAGGGAGTGGGAATGGTTAATGAGTACTAAAAAATAGTAGGAATGAATGTATAAGACCTAGTAGTTGCTAGCATAACAGAGTGACTGTAGTAAGACATTATTTCATTAATTAATTAAAATGCATTGGCCAGGCGCGGTGGCTCAAGCCTGTAATCCCAGCACTTTGGGAGGCTGAGGCGGGTGGATCACTAGGTCAAGAGATCAAGACCATCCTGGTCAACATGGTGAAACCCCGTCTCTACTAAAAATACAAAAAATTAGCTGGGCATGGTGGTGCGTGCCTGTAATCCCAGCTACTCAGGAGGCTGAGGCAGGAGAATTGCCTGAACCCAGGAGACGGAGGTTGTGGTGAGTCAAGATCGCGCCATTGCACTCCAGCCTGGGTAACACGAGTGAGACTCTGTCTCAAAAAATAAATAAATAAATAAATAAAATGCATCAATTAAAATACAGAGATTGTCAGAGCAGATAAAAAAATAAGACTCAGCTATAAGCGTTTTTTTTTTTTTTAAACAAGAAAACCGCTGTAAATATAAAGGCATATATAAAGTAAAAAGTAAATGGATGGAGAAAGACATACGATACTAACACTAATAAAAAGTAGAAGGAAAAAGGTAACGAAGTAGGAATACAACACCTTGGCTACTGCAAAAATTTTCTATTTATTTGTGTAGAAAGTTCTGCCTCTGCAGCACTTTCATAGGACATATTTAATGCCATTTCCATCATCAAGTATGTCTCTTCACTGTCTGTGACCATATTCCCAGGGGCTCTCTCACTGGTTGCTGTGGTGCTTCACTGATGATAAGCACACATGCAAGTCTTCCCCAGAGTATGCTGGATAATGCAAAGGATAGTATGTTTTTGTCTGGAACTTTATAGCATAAACATAGGATAAAACTTCCTTCAACTATGTCACCTTTTGACCTTGTAAGGCCATGATCTCTGCTTTTCTAGAATGAAATCTCTTTCAGTGTTGACCTTCATATTCCAGCACCGGCAGGAAGCAGAGGCGAGGACTCTATGAGTAGCATTAGAAGAGCAGTCACAACGTAAAAATAACATTCATTCCTCAGCTGGTGGAACCAATGATCAGAACCAGAAAACCAGAAAATTAATGCGTCCATTAGAGGCAAGGGAGAACATATCCTAGAATGACTCACTGAGATTGCAGAGCAACTATGTCAAAAAAGCTTGGAGGAGAGACGTGGCTATCTTATTAGGACATATTACAGCCCTATGATTAATTAAGACATATTAAAGCCCTATTACCAACCTCCTTTTTTTCCATCTTCCTCCCTTTGCCAGATTTTGCCCCAAATTCTTAGTTATTACGTTTCCTGTACAGACCAAAGCTTCTACAGAACTCCCTTTTTACTTGACATCTGCTTTTTCTCTCTCTTTCTTCTGTCTCTGGCTCCGTATCTCTCTCTCTCCTTCTTGCTCTCTCTTCACTTTTGTATTCTGACATCCTTCACTCAACTCAACATATTAACATCCACACACACACTTAGGCTTTATCTCTCCCAAAGACAGTGAGGAACTTTAAATAAGAAACCAGTTTCTCTGAGACAAGTAGTTTATTTTCCTTTGTACATTTCTTCTAATTAAAAGGATAATATTTACAAAACACTGGACACTGTACTGCATACATAGAAAAAAAATCAATGCTTCGTGGCATTTATGACTATCATGTTATTCTTGCTTTTTCTTACACTAGGGGAAAATAAAACCTTTTTTGCCTGTTCATTCAAGAAGAACCATGTTCATAAGTGCCCACACACATCCACGTGATGATCCCCACCTGCCCATAGACAGAAAACACATTTCTAGGCACAGATAATGGGATAAAGTTCATCACAATGGTTCATAAACAGGAGATTATCATCACTTGAGTCTAAGCAAACAGGGAGAGGAAACAATAGCTAGTATGTATCAGACATGTATTTTCACATACCTGAACCTTTACAATAGTCCTGTGGAGACAGACATTATCCTCAGCGCTTCTATTATATTTTATCACCAATAAACCGGCACTCAGGAGCTTAGAGGACAGAATTTTCTGCAAAAGTGTTTACGTATGGCATTCTTCAGCTCCTGGTTCCTCAGGCTGAAAATGATCGGGCTAAGGAAGGGGGTGAAGACAGTATAGGTGGTGGCCATCAAGGCGTCACCGTACGTAGAATGGAGGCCCTTGGGCTTGAGGTAGATAATGGAGGCAAAACTATAGTGCACGACCACCACAGTGAGGTGGGATACACACGTGGAGAAAGTCTTGTGCCGGCCCTCAGCAGAGGGAATCCTCAAGGTGGCAGCCACAATGAAGACATAGGAGAGGATGAGGAGGAGTAAACAGCCTACCAGGGCTGTGACACACACCAGCATCACACCCATGATGACAGATGATGTGTTGTTCCCACAGGCCAACTTCAAGAGGGAAAGCACATGGCAGGCAAAATGTCGGATCACAGTAGACCCACAGAAAGTGAGGTGAAAAACTATCATTGTCACCATCATCCCCATGACTGAGCTACCAGCCCAGGTCCAGGCCACAAGATGGGCACAGCCACGGGGGCTCATGAACATGTTGTAATGCAGTGGGTGGCAGATGGCCACGTAGCGATCATAGCCCATGATCATGAGAAGGAAGGAGTGAGTGAAGCCAAACGTGAAGGAGAAGAACATCTGGCTGGCACAAGCCAGAAAGGTGATGGAATGATGGGTGGAGAGCAGATCAGCGAGCATACGAGGGGTGATGGCAACAGTGAACAGAATCTCAGAGATGGAGAGGGCACACAAGAAGAGGTACATGGGTGTGTGAAGTCTGTGTTCAATCCAGACTGTAGCCATGATGAGAAGGTTCCCCAGCAATGTGAACAGGTACATCAGGAGGTACAGCAGGAACAAGATGGGGAGGAGTTTCTGGGGGAAGGCTGAGAAGCCAAAGAGGATAAATTCAGACATGGTGCTGTAGTTCTGACCAAGCATGGATACTGTATCTGGTGAGATCAGAAACAAAATTAAGTGACAGTGGTTAAAACATAGACTCTAGCACAGACCAAATGGCAACTCAACAGCTCTGTGCTATTCAACAATTGGCAGAACTCTTCTAGGTCTCACCTTCCTCATGTGTAAAATGGAGTAAATAATAGTTCTTAACATTCAGCAATGTGACAATCATCAAATGAGATCAATATTTTAGATGATCAAGTCAGATTTTGGCTACTAATTGGGTTTCTATTAACACTGACTAGTATAAAGAAAAGATTCAATACTTGGAGACATTAGAGACAGGCATGGATGATCAGGGTTAGATTCTCTTGAAAATATGCCAGTTCTAGAAAACATATTTTGATCTTGGGGTTTAAAAATTTTTTCCCTGAGAGTCTTTGTTTTTTAATTGCTTATATAACCCACTTACATTTATTTTAATACTGTTTTATTGGTACTCGTTGATGCCATCTTATTTCAAATTGTACATTTACTATTCTAAAAAAAACTGAATAGAAAATTTGAAAATAAAAAGATGGGTAAATATATGTCAGACAAATATGCACCAAATGAAAGCTGAGGCTGCAATCTTAATAACAATAAAAAGTGGGATTTAAGGAAACAGTGGTCACAATGTCTGTAATACCATACACCATTCCAGGGAGCTAGAGCTCCTTGAGACACGGCTGATCTGTGGTCTGGACATGGAAGAAAGGTTTGGATATCTTGTACCAGTGTGAAATGAAACTTGCACTAAGTAATAGGATAATATTAAAAGTCTGCAGGTACTAGATTGAAAAGATGCCCACTAGCCAAAATGGATAATCATTATACAGAAGATGGAGGAACAATCTAAATGACACCATGAGGAAGCTTTCAGAAAAATTCAGAAGGTGGATAATTCCACAGAACAATTGGTCTGGTCTCATTGATAAAGTCTCATTCAAGGGATAAGAGAGATTTAAGGACATAACAACTGGATACAACATAGAGGACTAGTTGAATCCTGATTTACATAACCAGCTGTAAGTATTTTTAAGGCACTAGAGAACATTTTGACTATAGTATGAATGAATGATTATGAGTAACTTAATATTACTCATAATATTATATATTATATAAATAATAGCATTATTATTGATTTAATTACTAATTTTTTAGAGTCCAGTCTCGCTCTGTCCCTCAGGTTAGAGTAGGATCATGACTCCCTGTATCCTAACCCCTGGGCTCAAAGTAATCCTCCACCTCAGCCTCCTAAATTGCTGGGACTACAGGTGTGTGCCTCCTCACCTGTCTAATTTAAAAAAATTTTTCCAGGCCGGGCGTGGTTGCTCACGCCTGTAATCCCAGCACTTTGGGAGGCCGAGGCGGGTGGATCACGAGATCAAGAGATCGAGACCATCCTGGTCAACATGGTGAAACCCCGTCTCTACTAAAAATACAAAAAAAATCAGCTGGGCATGGTGGCACGTGCCTGTAATTCCAGCTACTCAGGAGGCTGAGGCAGGAGACTTGCCTGAACCCAGGAGGCGGAGGTTGCAGTGAGCCGAGATCGCACCATTGCACTCCAGCCTGGATAACAAGAGCGAAACTCCGTCTCAAAAAAAAAAAAAAAATTTTTTTTCCATAGAGACAGGGCCTCACATTGTTGCCCAAACTAGTCTCGAACTCCTAGCCTCAAGTGATCTTTCTATATGAGCCTCCTAAAGTGCTGGAATTATAGACATGAGCAATTACGCCCAGCTAATTATTTTTTTAAGTGTGATCTGATTATTTTGGTAATGAAGAAAAATGGTTAGTTTCTTGATGCATGCTGAAATTTTTGAATCACACACACATATGCACACACACTTAAGGACAGAGAATAATATTTATATCATTTAAAAGAACATTATGGCAACTGGTATAAATATAATAAATCTACATTACTATATATCCTGGAATATTAAGTAATAAATAATAAAAACAACTTCAGTGAGATACATAGAAATAACTAAATCAATGACAGATAGATATTATAGTTAGAAATTTTAACAGAGTTCAGAAATGTAATTTGTTAATTATTAATTACGATGTAATTAATATTATGTATTATATATATTATGTATTAGACTCTTCACCAGAGAATAACTATTTTTTCAAGCACACATATACTTTTACAAAAATTAACATTTCATTAAGATATAAAAAACTCTTTAATTCTAAAGTACAAATGTTATATAGATTATAATGCATTAACATGAAACATTAATAGAGAAGAAATAGCTTTTCAAATCTATGTTTGGAAGCTAACTATATAATTAAATAATTTTCAGGTTCAAGAGTAAATCATAAAAATTAAGAAATCTTTAAAATTAAACGAGAATTCAAATATCGAGTGTCAACATTTTAACCTAAAATAGTACTTTGAGGGAAATATACAGCACTAAATAGATTTGTCAAAGTTCATGCTTAATAAAACCAAGATCAAGATTAGAAAAGCTTGAGAAGACAGAGGGAAACAAGGAGAAGGTGCCAATAACAAAGCCCAAAATTAAAAATGGTAAATAATTACAAAGACAATGGATATTTTTGAATAAAAAGTTTTAAAAAATAATAAATTTGTATTGTAGATGAAATGACCAAATACTTAGAAAAACATAAAATTCTAAAACTGGTTCAAGAAAAAAGAGGATCCTGTATGCTCAAATAAACTCTAAAGAAATAGAAATGGTAGTCAAAGATTGTCTCTCTCTAAGATGGTGAGTTTCCCCCGCGGGTTTTATTAAAATGTAATAATTATTATCACTGTTAAGAAACAGTTGGTTAATATCTTATACACGAGCTTCAAAAACATAGAAAAGTATTAGGATATCCGACCAGCACATCTCATCAGGTTAATGCAATCTTGGTCTAAAATCAGGTAAGAATGTTTGCCAAAAAAAGAGACAATTATAGGCCTACTTCGCCTACACTTGCAGATTTTAAATTCCAAAATAAAACCATAACCTAGTCAAATTTAATGGTGTATTAAAAATGGTTTACCATAATAAAGTGGTATTGGTTTATTTCATAAATGACAAGGATGGCTAACATCCGAAAACTTATCATACGATTTATCACAGGAGTTGCTTAAAAAGAAAAATCATGATTATTTCAATCAAGGCAAAAATACATTTTTCTTAAACTCTACTTCTATATATGATTTTTAAAGAACACTTCACAACACAAAATTCAAGGAGACTTTCTTACCTAGACGTAGAATATATGGCACAAGATTAGCAAATACTACACTAAATGAAGAAACTTTTCGATGCATTATTTTAGGACCAAGAACAAGCCAAGGATACTCACTAAATCTGCTGTTCTTTAACATGGAACTGAAAGTCATGAGTGATGGTATCAGGCAAGAAAAAGAAATAACGTATCTAAGGATTGGAAGGGAAGAAACCTGATCATCTATCTGGAAAAGATAAAAGAATGATGATGTCATCTATTAGAACAACGACAGAGCCCAGTGACGCAGAAGGCAAAGTCATCGGGCAAATATCACGGTGTTCCTCCTAGTATTGCACCAGTAACAAGCATTCAAGAAATAGAAGTTGAATACAGAGAAAGATAACATTCCCAACAGCAACACAAACTATTAGGTTGGTGCAAAAGTAATTGTGGTCTCTGTCATTATCTTTAAATTTAATAGAAAAAGTGTAGGGTAATAACTTGGTAATCTAGGCAGGAGGAAAGACTTCCTAAGCAAAATTTCAAATGCACAAAATATAAAGAAAAATACAAAGAAATACGTCTCAGGATTCCATTACACCCTCAAGTTACTGAGCATTCTAAAGGGCTTTTGTTTTTGTGGTTTAGAACTGTCCATTTTTACCATATTGGAGTGAAAATTGAAAATTATTTAAATATTAGTTATTAGTACATTTAAAAGAGCAATCGTAAACCTATTGCATGCTAATATTGACAGGGCAGGAGCATTGCCATCTTGGACAAATCCCTTTTTCTAAAGTTCATCTTAATAAAAAACCACCTAAATCCAAAAAGCCTCAGGCTAATGGCTAAGGTCGGCACAACCATAAACCACAGATAACATCTCCAGCCAGAGATATTCCAAACTCTTCCTCAAACAGAGACATGCTAGCCCTGAGATAAGCCTCTTCCAGCTGGGAAGATGCCAGCCTCAAGATAACACATTGGCGGAAAGATGTGTGCCCCAAGATAACCTCCCCTCCTCCCAGAGACATTCCAACCCCAACATAAAACTTCTCTCTCACGCAGAAACATTCTAAGCTTGTAATAAACCCCTCATCCTAAAACCAATATATACTCTTAGTCTGTAAGAGAAAGTGCTCCCAACTGAAATCAGCCAGAAGTTCCCCTTGGGTTTTATCTAAAGTAAATCTGTCTTTAACTGCCAAGCCGTGTTTCAGGTTTCTTTCCTCTTGCTTTAACTCTTACAAATATAAGTAACATTTTCAGGCAAATAACCACAATAAGAAAAAGCATTTCGTGAGAAGAGTGGCCTTGTTTGACGTTTTAGCAAATACATCACATATACTGGCTTGGTGGGAAACAGCTTCCTCACTCAGTCTGTGGCAATATGCTGTCTTAGTTGAAGCATATGATGAAAATATATTCTCACATATAATTGGAAAAATAAGGACTTCAGGGACCACCCTGGAGAGGTCCTCATATCATACTTTGAAAAATTCTGCTGTAAAATATCTAGGAATTAACCCAAAACATGCCACACCTCCAAAGAAAAAAACATTAAATACATACTAATAAAAATGTAGAAGATTAAACACACAGAGTTTACAGTCTTGGGTGGGATGGCTTGTGTGCTGATGATGTCAATTCATACTCAAATTATAATCTCAATAAAATCGTGTTTATAGTTCCAGTGAATCGACCATACATTTGATAAAAATCTATTTGAAAATTGCTCCAGAAAAATATATGTCAGGCTAGCGCGGTGGCTTACGCTGTAACCCCAGCACTTTTGGGAG